CGTGCCATCCGTGGAGCTTCTTCTGAACTGCCACGGGGGCTGCGAGTGCTTAAAGGGTCTTTACAGCCGCAGTAGCAACGACGCCCCCAGACCAACCTAATGCATGACTTTCCCTCCCACTTTTTTTTTTATTTATTTTGAAGCCTCTTCCTTTGCAAACAGTGGGAAAGAAAGGAGATGTCCCTCCCACCAAGCCTCCTGCTTTGCGCCCACACAGGGACCATCATGTCCTCGGGCAGACCCTGCCCCAGCCCGTGGCTGCYCCGGCACAGGGTCCGCACGGAGACAAGGGTCCAACCTCCTGCTCAGCCCGGGTCTCCCCGGGATGTGGGGGCAGATATAGGCCTGGCGCCAGGCCATTCCCACTGCCACAGGTCCCCTTCCCTGTGTGCTGCAGGAGGTCTCTTAACTGGCGTGGGGGGCGGGTGTCACGAGAAGAGGTTAAAAATCACAAAAATCACAGTATGTTTCCCCTGACAGCCTAGATCCTGTTCGGCACCTCCTGGGAGCAGTCACCCACRGCTAGGTGAGGGTTTGGCCTTGTATAAGGTTTTTTTTTTTTTTTTTTAAATCAAACTCTATTTTCCTTATTTAGGTTTCAAGTGATGCTTCCACTGATTATCCGGTTCCCTCTCCACCCTGCATACTGCTTATTTACTCCTGGCGCTTCCTTCCACTCTGCTCTGCAGGGTGCCCGCTCTGTCCCGCTGCTGGCTCTGCCCCACAGATGCCCCACATGTCCTGCAGCTCCAAACAAAGCGTTTCCACTGGATGTGGAAAATTTCAGTTGGAAAAACGGGCAAGGCTTGCTCTAGGAAGGAGCTGCAAAGCTCCAGCAGTGGTGTCAGCAGCACCCACAGCTTAGCACCTCTTTAGCACCTCTTTAAACCTCATCTCGCTGCAGTGTTGTTAAGGGATGAGCACAAACAAGTGTAACCACCCCGGCCCAATGCACTTCTCTTACAGCAGATATTAATTACATGTAGGGAGGGGTGCTAGGGGCTTGCCCAGCTCCGGAGCTTGGCCCATGTGTGGCAGRTCCTCTTCATAAGCCCCAACCTGGCTTGGGTGAGGGTCTTTGGAGTGCTTGTCTGCATGTGTTTGGGGAGGACCAGCAGCTGTGGGCTCTGGGGGCAACTTCTGGCCATGCTGCTGCTTCTCTGAGGCTTCAGGTAGGTTCTTGCACTTCACTGGGCCTTCGTTTACCCACGTGAATGTGTCTTGCTCTGTTACTTTATGTTAGCAAACAGGCAGTAGTTGCAATTGCAGCAGAGTTTTCTGTGCCTTCTTCCCAGGCAGTGCCTGGGAGGCTCTTGCAGGTGTTGCTGGGGTCTTGTTTGCTGCCACCCTGCCTGGGAGTAGTTTCTAGCACTTCTTGAGACCCCAATTTTGCTTTTTTTTTTTTCCATTTTGAGGGTACAACCAATAAAACCCTAGAAGTGAAGTCCCTTCCTTTAGGGTTATCACACCCCAGTATCCTGATCATAGCAAGGTGCTACGTCCAGTGACAAGTGTCCAAGGACAGAGCTGCTACTCCAGCAGGTTGTTTTCTTGGAGGACAAGAGGGCTACTCCAACATATTTTTTTTTTTAATGATAAAAACACCCTGAAAAGCAAAGGCCATAAAAAAAATAAATAAAAATCTAAAGGTCACAGTGTGTAGCAGCATCCCTGGCAGGATGGAGAAACCCCAACGCAGCGGGGAAGGAGCACATAGGTGGTGTGGTGAGGTGCCCTTTGCCTCCTTGGACATAACAAATGACGTGTTGGGTCTGCACAGCTGCTGGGGGATCCCGTGGGGATCCTGGAGGATTCCTCCTTGCCCCAGGGGATGCTCCCAAGCAGGTCCCTGCCTGGCATCCGCATGTCCGTGCGCATGTCTGGCTATGCTGTAATGCATGGGAGGGCCTTGCTGGGGGTGAATGGCCCTGTGAGCAGGAACGATGGCTCACGGGGGAGCTGCGAGGGCCCCTGGGGACCAGGCCGTGCATCCCATGTCCCCCACTGACACCCRCACACGTGTGAGCATGCACACGCATGGGGACGTGTCCCCACTGCCACCGCTGCGGCCACAGCCCTGAGGAAACAGATTAACCAGGAAGCTTCTGCTCCTCTCTTGGAAATGCAAATCCATTCGGGAAGAGAAGGAGGCTCCCCAGCCCCCTGAGCCTTTCCAGGACGTTTCCCTGCTCATTTGGTAGTTCGGGGGCATGTTGCCTAAAAGGGCAAGAAGTTGTTTTGCTGTAATGAACTAGATAAACAATTCCCCAAATAGATTAAAACTAACTGTAACTTATAAAAGCGGGTAGTAATTATATTTTATTAGCTAGCAAAACACCATTTTTTTATTTCGAAGGATAATTCTGTGTAAATCACCTTAATTAGAAGTGTCAGACGAGCCTGTGAATATCGTACTTAGTAACTAATTTCCTATGTACAGGTTATAATTTAAAACACATGGATCACTCGCTGAGTGGAAATATGCTAGCCATGAAATAATGTGGGGAGGGTTGGGGTTATTACTATGTAAATGTGTAATCATTTCAGACCACTGCAGCCTGGCTCGGTGATTAAAGAGAATTCCAAGGTCTCCAAAGATTGTGCTCGCTGTGAGGGCCTAGAGCGAGAAACTTTAAAAGGCACCGAAAAGTGTTTGAACTTTAAAGGTCTTKATTTCCCTTTTACCATTTTTAATTTGTCTGCGGTGTTTATGGAATGGAGSGTTTCTCCTCGCCCGTGGGCTTTGGGGTGGGAGGCCGGTGCCCGGGAGTGGAGCTGAGAGCAGCAGGGGCTGCAGCCTCTCTAGTTGGGGGGTTATTTGGTGCCCCGGGGGAAAAGCGGCCAGGCTGGATTAGTCCAGGGGCTCTGCAGCCCAGGACCCGCTCTTTGCAGCGTTCTGGGCCAGATGCTTGGGAGGAAGGTCCGAGAAAGGCAGCGAGATGGGCAGAGGACTGTGCTCGAGGGCGAGCACCCAGGTGACCCAGTGATGTGTGGCCTGGGTGCCCGGGATGCTCCCAAATCACTTAAATTGCTGCCCGTCAATGTCCCGCGCTCCCACTGGCCCAGGATTTTTGCCTTTTGGCTGGTGGGAGAAACTCCCCTAGTGAAAACACCCGTTTCCTGGCACCAGGATGGTTTCTGGGAGGAGTTAATGAGATTATTCCTTTTCACGGGAAAGAGGAAGAATATTAAACATTTTTAAGGAGAAGAGGGAGGAAATGAGTTGTGTGGAGTTTTTTTGTTTGTTTGTGGATTTTTATTTCTTTTTTAAACCTGAATTCTAAGTGAAATAAAGATGCTTCACAGTTTGGATGACTCAAAGTCCAGAGAGGGCTGGGGATTGCGGCTGGGGACCCTGGTGCCCCCTGGATGGACTACRGTCCCCGGCTGGGGACCGAGGCAGCGGCCAGTGTGTCCCTGCAGTGGCTGAGCGGGAGCCGCTGGGCAAGGAGAGCATTGGCACCCACATGTGGATCCGAGATGCCAGGACCTGCAGCCACTTGGCTGAGCATCACAGCTCCGAGCAAGCCTCGGCRGCCAGTTTGGGGTGACCCAGTGACAGATCCCACTTGTGTCCCCCCATTTGGGGGCAGGGGGGACAAGGGCAGTGGGAGCGAGTGCAGAGGGGGGCTGTATCCCCTGGAGAAAACACCTTCCTCCATCCCTTCTCATTTCATAACACCCAGCCATCTGCCAAATCAAGGCAGATTAAAGCCAGCCAAATTCAATTTCTCCCCGCTGCCACCGCGGCTCGGCATCTGGGGCTAAAGTGTCCCCGACAAAGCGAACATGACAGGCACATTGCTTTTTTGTCACATCTAGTACCGTGTTGATCTTCTAAAAGTCTCATAAAAATTTATTGATGTCTCCCATATTGCTGTGATTGAGAAGAAAGGAGCCTGTGTGCGCGGAGCCGCGTGCGCGCGCGGGGCGGGGGGGGCGCCTCTGTATTAATGTTTCTGAAGTAGATCTGATTTGATATGTCTTGTTCTATTGTCAGCATCTGTTTAGCGAGGCTTTTTAATACTTTCTGGCTGCCGATCACTCATCCTTAGCCTGGGATGCAGGCTTGCATACAAATTTTGTTATTAAACACAATTCCACCGCCCACCTCCCCCTCCGCCCACCCATCCATCACGTCCCCGGGGCGCTGGGGAGCGGGCGCCAGCGGCCGCGCGCGCCCAAGCAAGCGCCAGCACCGGCCTTGCCAGCATATTTCAACCTTCCTTTTTTTATTTTTTTCCCCTTTTTTCCTTTTTTTTTAACCCGCTGCAGGTGCTTTGCATCGGCAAATCRAATCAGGGGGAAATAATTTATTTCCTAATGCTGTTTGCAGCATGTTAGCGGGAGAATTTACATGAGAGAGATTACTTTAATAACCAAAAAATTACAGTGCAGGCCTCCCCTCCATGTCGGCTTTGATGTGTAATTGTTTCAAGTTTAACCTGTCTGGAGGGGGAAGGTGTTATTAAATCTGCGGCGTGTCCCGCTGGCGGGGGCAGGCGAGGAGGAGCGCGGCGGGGACCTCCTTCCCGCTAAGCGGGGAGCAAGCTGGGTTAACAAATCACTCCAACGCCGGCAGAGCCTCCACAGCGCGCCGGGAGCAGGAGGGATCCTCCTTCCCATGCTCCTTACAGGGGATAATTTTTCCTCCTCGTCCTTCTCCCCTTTTTTTTTTCTTTTTTTTTTTTTCTTCCCTTTTTTTGTGGTGCCTGGTCCTAGGGCTCAGCAGTCACCGTTCCCTCTCCTTGCCTTTCTTCCTTGCTTTCCCTGGGGAGAAGTGCTGGGATATGGCTGGTGCCAATTGCAGTGCCTGGGTTGGGGTGGTTGCACTTTTAGGACATTCTTATTCCAGTCTAGGCTGCCCTGCCATCCTCGTGTGCCCACTGAGCAGGGCAAGAGGAGCTGTCCTYGCTGCTCTTCAACCTCCATCACTTCTCCCTGCTCCCTGCCCAGCACAGCTTTTACGCCCCTGACCCTCTTCTCTTCTCTCTTGGCAGCAAGAACTCCATCCTGAAGGATGCCATGGCAGCGGGTACCCCCAAGGTAAGTGAGCACAGCTCGCACACCTTTCCCAGGGGATGCACTTGCACCCYCTTGCCCTCGCCGCCACGCTTTGGGGTCTGCCCAGCATAGGGAAAGCTGCCCCTGTTCCCCATAGGGCTGCAGCGGGGTCTGCCCTTCCCCACATGGTGGAGGGATCATGGGCTGCAGGATCCGTAAGTCTCCACGACTCCAGATTGTGTTTAATGACAGCTGATGAGTGTTGATTGCGCGCACACACACACACAGAGCTCAGACTGTAACATCCGCATCATGTGCAGCAGTTTCCAGGGCCAAAGCCGTATGGCAGCTCTGGRAAAGGGGTGCAGACCTGTGGCAGGGCTAAGCACCCTCTGTGTGCGCCCAGATAGCAAAAAGACCCTGTCTTGATCATGTCCTGCTTCCAACAGCCACCTCCTACCTTGTGTCTCCAAGTCCTRTTGGCCGTGTACAGCATATATAACACATCACAGGGTCGTTGCAAAGAGCCTCGTTTGCTAATTAGCATTGCTGTTCGCTGGGCATGGCAGGGAAGGAGCAGAGAGGTGGTACTGGACCGCTTGAGACAGCGAGTGCCAAGCGGTGCTGGGCACAGGCCGGGGGGCCAGGCTCTCCTACCCGCTGCTTTGGAGAGCAGCACTGTCTGAGCCAGCRGGTCCCCTGTCCAGGGAGAGCACTGGCACCCCGGAGCTCGCACAGCCCTGGAGGGACAGGGAAGCTCTCATGGGAACCGTCTTTCTGCTAGTTTTAAGAGTATAAACTGCAGGTCTTGGTTGCCTTTTTTTTTCTTCTGAAAGTTTTGGGCGAATGTGGAATGTGGTGTTAAAAAGAGGTTGAATTTTCAGCTCTAGGTTTGCCCRCTGGGGTTCGGTGACTCCCGCAACCACCAAACATCTTGTCTGGCCCCTTAGGTGAGGAGCAGGGCACTCGCAGTGCAGTCTTGGGGTCCCAGCTGCCTACTGAGAAAATCCAACAATTTCCCAAGCCACCACCAAAGAGAAAAGTGAATTTCACGGTGATGCCAGCTCATGCTTCACAGCTTTGGCACAGCGCTCTCCTGTGTGACTGTCCCTCTCCCKCATGACACAGCCCAGGGACGCTGATCAGCGAGCAGAGACCTGGCTTTGCTGGGACAGAAGGGAGCTGCTGGTGGCCCCAAGCTGGCAGCCCCAGGCTCCTGGCTTGCATGTTGGGAGCAATGGGCTGYGGTCCTGGTATCTCCGAGGTAAATTGGGCACTGCTCTTCTGTCGTRAAAAACAAGCCGTGCAGAAACAGTCCCCAACTATCACTGAAAAGCCACGGCCCATGAAGCTCTCTTTAGATATCTTGAAGGAGCTGGAAAGGGCACCTGCAGAATAAAAGCACCCAGATTTTGTATGCTTCCCTTTCACTTGTTGTCAGGTCTGAGCGTAGATAACTCAACGGTCCCAAACACACCGCCTGAGAGGGAGAAGGGAGGTTAGGAAGACAGATTAGCTGTTTGGAGGGAAATACACCAAGTGACTGACAGACACCAGATAAAGAAGAAGGTCCATCTCTCGGCAGGGCTGGGCTTTTGAAGTTTCCATTGACAAAGAATCCCATTTGCCTTGAGCGAGGGGATTAAACTGGGACTGGAGAGTCGTTCTATGTAAAAGAGATCAATCGTCCCCTGTCAACACATGGATCTTTTCCCTTTGCCCGTCACGTCTAGGCCTAAGAACATTAACTTCAAGAAGCCATGAGAGTAGGGAGGGAGAGGGTGAAATCAGGAAATCTTTCATTCCCGTCTCAGAGAGCTTGAAAGCCTCTCAGCCCAGGAGGATTCATTATTTTTAGGTGGCTTTTGCTGGGAGACAAGTCCTGTGTGGCACAACACTTCCACCTTCGTGTTCGCTTGGTATTAAGGGCTTCTTTGTAATTAGGCGGGATTTAGGAGGAGGGCGGCGGGGAGACGAGGCCCTTCTTTTCCTTTGTGCCCGCCGAGCGTTTGCAGCGCGGGCTGGGAGCAGCCTGTCGCGGTACCAAGTCCCTCTCTAACATCCCGMCGGACACCCTGAGGGCAAAACAGGGGTCCCAGCGCAGGGATSGGGGAGCTGGCACGGGCGCAGGCTGGCTCTGGTGCCTCCACCATCACCACTCTGCCCCAGTGGCTTTAGGATGACTTTAGGCTCAAGTCTCACTCCTCCTGCGCTGGCTCTTCCTGGGGAGCAGGGGCCGACACAGCTTGGGGTGGTGTTTGACTCCCACCCACCCTTCTCCTGGGCTCTGCTCCCACCTCTTCCCTGCTGCTACCCCTGCAAAAGCCTCTCCTGGCAGCAGATAAGCCCGGAGGCAGAGGTTCCTCGCTCGCTGCTTGCCTGCCCCCCGAAGAGCTGTCACTCACGGCAGCGGGTCAATTTTCATGGCAATATGTCAAAGAAAATCCAATCACTCGACAGAGGAGGTGAGGAATGCAGGATTATTGTACCAGGTTCTTCTGTTACGGGAGCCGGCCGTGGCAGCGCGGCGAGGCTGTGAGTTCTGGCCAACACGTTTTTGGTGCCCGCGCTCCCTCTGCGCCGCTCGGCGAGGGCAGCCCCAAGGGCACCGCGTTGCTCTGCGTCCCCATGTGCTTTCTGCCAGAGACCAAATCCTGCCCATCATCGGGTGCCAGGCTGGGCTATCAGCTTGGACAGGCAGCTGACAAACTTGGGATGTGATTTCTATCCAAGCCTCGTGCCTCCTAGCTAGGAAAGCAGGCGACACCACGCTGGTGTCTGAGCAGGCTCTTGGCTGCCCCGAAGCCTGTATGTGGCCGTCAGCAGAGCTCAGTTCTCAGTGTAATTCCCAGGTCTCACGTTCCCTCCTTGCCTTTCCTCGCTGGTGGAGGTGTTTGGGAGAGGAAAGCATGTTGTTGCACCCCAGATCTGACCAGGGTTGGTTAAGAATATGAGAGATGCTAATTGGGCTGTTCCTACTCTTATTTGAGCATCCAGCTGTAACCTCGAATCAGTATTCCCGAGTCCTTGTARCCACCTAAAAGCACTGCTTAGCCACAGCCTGTCCAGCATCCTGTAGGAGGCTCCATGGGGAATCCTCCACAGAGAATCACATGGGTGCAATGTGGCCTATTCCCAGAGAGGAGAGACCTCAACCCCTTGTCACCCACTGAGGTCACGAAGAAACATCCCTAACAGCGTCCCATCCCTAACAGCGTCCCCTGAACTTCCTCATAGCCCCTGCGAAGCGTCAGGGACTGACCACCACAGCGGGCACCTGGGCTCCCAGAGCATCCCAGCGCCTGCTGCAAGCCCAGCATCCATCCGCCACGGATGCCTCCTAACACGGCTGCAAGCTGCCTTCGCCGCTGACCAGCCCGCTGTGCACGGCCTCTTGCTTTGCTCTTGCTTTTGCTCTCGCTGCAAACGTGCTCGGGCGCGAGYGGTGCCAGGGACAAGCGGGTGGCACGGAGACCTCCGGCTGAGCCGGGAAGCGAGCCGCGCTGCCGGAGCCCTCGGATTCCCCCACCTGCTCCCCTGGTTTTACGGCTTCGTAGAACCGTTTGAGAGAGAATTACAGCACCTGGAGGGAAATCTGACCACTAAAGCCCTCCAAGGAGAAAGAGCTTTGAAGCAAGTGAGATTTGGAGCCTTAAACCTTGACAGAATGTCTGTATTAAGCCTTTCCCAGCTTCSTTGCTCGAGATGAAATTTCTAGCACGGTCATTTAACTTCTCCACATCGTGTCTGGTGGTAGGAGCCAGGGACTGGTGTCAGGGCCCTGGGGTTTTAACTCCTTCTCTTATGTCATGGATTTACTGGGCGACTATGGGAAAGGCACTGCAGATATCTGTGCCTGTTCCTTCCTCCCCCTCCTTCTGCAACTGAGATTTATGAGGAAAGACCTAAAAAGCTAAAGCTAAACCTTGTGGCAAAGCTGCAGCTAAACAGGGGACATGAGAGCGGTGCACAGGTTTACAGAGGAGGGGAGTGCCTGGGATGAGGGTCAGCCATCCATGTGCCCTGTCTGTGCAGGGTAAGGAAACKGGGGCTACTCCAAAAAAATCTCTGCCAGTTTTTTTTTTTTCCATAAAACAAACTGTGAACAAGCAGAGCCCTGCGCTGCCCTTGGGCCAAGCAGCTGTGCCCTCTCTTTAGGCTGGGGATGAGGGCACCAGAGCAGAGACAGGGGCAGTTCAGTGCCACGCTCCAGAACGAGGGTCTGCATTTCTGCCCCAGCTCCACCACAGACGGACCAGGACACCTTGCCCAGGTCTCTCCCTCTTCATCCTCTGCCCTTTCTCCCAGAAGGGCTCCTTTCCCCTCTGCATAGCTGGTGCCTTCTCCAGGAGGGCCCTGAGCTCCATCGCAGTCCCAAGTGTGGCAAAGCATGAACAAAAATAGACCAGTAGCTCACGTTTGTGTAAGCTTAGCACAGCTGCAAGCCCTGGAAGCCTTCAGGGGAGGCCAGCAGGCTGCTGATGCCGGTATTTCCATGCACTGTTAACACCCTTCTAGCATTCAAGCGTTGCACCCTCAGCTCCAGCCCACCTCCGCCAGCTAAAAGCCACCGGGGGATTTTGCCTCTCATTTGGAGCAAATTTGGACCTTCTGAAAGTGTCTGCGAAACTCAGCTCTGCCACCAGCATCTTTGTGTCAGGGATCCTCAAACGGTAACGTGAAAAGAAGAAYGGTTAGCAGAGTAAGGGGGGGAAATCAGAGCAAGGTCTGGTATCACTCATGGCTTTCGGGTTACAGTTCCCAAGTGATAACAGCTATTAGCAACACTTTGACGGCTTCCCTACCGTGGAGGGGAGGGCAGGAGACAGAAAACATGTCAAGCCATCACCTCCATGTTAAGTGATAAGTACCTATTTAGACGGCAGAGTTAAAGCTGAATGCATCAAGCAGGGAACACTTTGTGCCAAAAATATATATGTATATAAAAAAAAAAAAAAAAGAGGCCATACAGATACATAAAAAGCGGGGTTAGGGTATTTGTTCTGCTGACAGCAGCTGTGATGGATTGTTTAAGAAAAATAGACTCGCTGTGTTTTTCCAGGGCTAGCAGAAAGCCAGAGTCCAGCGCTTTAATACCCTCAAACCACCGGCCTTGAGARGAAGGGGAATGTCAGAGGTATCAGACAGGGCTGGGGACCGCGTGTGCGGGCAGGTCCTGTCCCTTGGGAATGAAGGAAACCTTGGCCTGGCTGGGGACACGGTGGCATGTGCATGCACGGGTGCTGCTGGCAGCGCAGGCTCACACAGCCCGGGCAAGATTGATGGCCTCGTTGCCATTAAGAAAAAAATTAGCCGGTGGCGGCTATCATATTAAAGGGTGAAGAAGCCGTGAATTATTTTCTTAAAGATCTTATCACTTACAATGATAATTTTACCTTCCGAAAGGCCACTTTTAATGAGGCAAGCCAGGCAAAAAGTCATGATTTAATGCCGGATTTTTTTTTTCCCAAACACATTTTACTGCTTTTTTGTCCATGTTTAAAAAGCGCCGGTGACCTTTTTTTATTTAGCTTGCCCCAGGTGTAATGCTCAGGCTGATCCTCTCAGGGTTTATAACCTCCGCAGAGAGTGCCTTTCCCAGTGGAGGGATGATTTAAAGGGGAGGGAGAAATATGAGGCTGCAGGGCCACTCGCACGAGGCCCCAACTGCTGTCCTGGAGCCGCGGCTTGCTGTGGGGGGGGTCCTGGCCTGGGAAGGAGGTTGTTTCCCTGGATTTAGCCCCACTCAAGATGCTTCCTGAAGCAGAGATGGGCTTAGATGTTCCCTCAGCAGGGATGAGCGAGCTGGCAGCTCAAGGAGATGGGGAACGTGTCAAGGGATGTGTCTGTGCTGAGGGCACCCCAACCACTTAGCCGTGGGGAGGCAGTCCCAACACCATGGTTTGCAGCAGGGGGAAAAGAAAGAGGCCCAAATTAGGCCCAAATTAACACMAAAATGCAAGTCCTCCCCCACCACGCAGGTCCTGCGTGCCCGGGCTGGAGGGCCAAGTGAGCCACATCCCGGGGAAACGRGGAAAACAAATGAAGTCAAGTTGCCGGAGAGCGCAGGGGAAGTGTGACTTGGCATCTCTAACGCTGTGCTTAACATGCCGGCGAGGTATTTAGAATTGAAGTGCTTGCACACAATTTAAAAATAGACAGTTTATTAATCTAAACTGCGAGTGTATGTAGAAGAGGCCTCGAGATTGACATCTTTGGGATTAGTTTAGCCCTGCGTTTTTCCAGAGGTCATCGCCATGGTGCTCAGGAGGTTTGTGGAATAAATGGGGCCGGCGTTCTTCCCGGGACCACACGCTAAAAACTAATACATAACGTTTAATTTACTGTCTCCATAGCTAGCCCGACCATTTTTCACATAATAATATTGGATTAGAGCTACCAGAAGCTGAGGGGGGAGCTGGAGGCAGGGAGGGTTTGTCTGTCTGTCGCCAAAGAATGGGCAGATGGGTTTTTTTTCCCCTTCTCTAGAATTCATTGGAAGAGCAAATGCATTTAACCCTCCCAGCTCCGGGATGCTCAGCTCGTTCCAGGAGGGAAAGGCCATCGGCAGCGCTGCAGTCGGGACTTGAGTTCTGTCAGGCTTTGTTGCACAGGACATTTGCAATCCTGCTTTTTTTTTTTCCCCAAAACTGCTTTTCCCTCCTTCTCCTTGTAGGAAATAAAGAAACTAAATGCCTCTGGGTGCTGAGCACAGTCCCCTGGGGTACCACCAGCCCCGGGGCTCCCTGCTGTCCAAACATACGTGTATGCTGAGTCATTTTTTCACTTGCTCATATCTTTCCCAAAAATGCACCTTTTTTTTCATGTTTCATTTCAGCCCAGAGGCAAATGTTTCTGGAATGCTTGCCTTTCTCCAAGGTATTCTGTTTTTTAATAACGTTGTCACCACACTTGACCTGTCCAATTCAGATGATATCTGCACTTCCCTTTGCAAACAGACACAGCTCTGAGCAGTCATTTATTGTTGAATCTTGCCAGCTGATTCCTCGAAACAAACATCTGGAGAGTTGCATTTACAGTGTATATTTTTTACAGTATAGTGTCTTACTAAATTTCATCCACTTCAGCTAATCTTTATTTTAAATTAGCATTTTTAAATGGATTTTTCTCTGAAGTTCTTCTAATAATAAATATCACTTACAACCCAGTAGACATTTTTTTTAATATTGTCAAACTCTTGGAGTAATTTTCCCACTGGAGTTCATTGTGTGTAGAATTTAGACTTACCCACTATTGACTTGGAGTTTATCAGAGATTTCTTCCTTCTCAAACATCACTGATCTTTTCAATCTTTTAAAAGGCCCTTTTTTTCGCTGCTACTTATTAAAATAAACAGTGTCATTATGGAGCGAAGGGGCCGTTTTGCTGCAGAGGTGCTGAGAGCTCCAGTGCAGCTCCCGAAGCCCTCGAGAGATTCAGTGGGACTTCGACACGAGCGCTCGCCCGCGTTCCTGTATCGCCAGTGTGTGTTTATGGCGTGGTGTTTATGTCAGGGGATCTCACAGGTCCGGGTGGTATCCGCAGGACAGCGTGTGCCCGCGGATGCTCTGGCACTGCCCACGTGGGATCCGGTTGCTGCGGCTCGCGGGGAAGCCAGGCCCACGGGGTGCTCTCCCGAGCACGGTTAAAGCCCTGCTTGCAGGACAAAACGTGCTATGGAGTGCCCGAGGCAGGAAAAGGAGGTGTCTCCCGGCCTCCCGCTCTGCCGTGGGGCAGGAGATGGGATACGGTCCTGCGGGAAGCGCCGAGGCCGCCCGGATGCGTGCGGCGCTCCGAGTGCGGCACGCGCGCCCTCGCCGGGCAGAGAGCTTGGCAGCGCTCACAGCATGAATTTCTCCTTTCTCTTGCAGTCAATTTTGTTGTCAGCCTCAATCAAGCGGGAAGGAGATTCTCCGACAGCATCGCCCCACTCTTCAGATGACATCCATCACTCGGACAGATACCAGGTAAGCGAGCAGACAGCGGTCGGGCTTTACGGGGAAGCAGCGCGTGCAGCTCGCCATGAGCCAGCGCCCCGGCTCTCTGCTCCACAGCGGTGCCCCATTCGTCTGCCTACACAGCAGGACATCAGCCCTTGGTGGGCTTATATGGCTGGGAGCCATGCTCTYGTTTGCAGATTTTCCTCCCCACAAAACTACTTTAAATCTTTGTGGTGGCTTCTGTTGCATTATGTTCGCCACAGCTCTAGCCCTAGGAGTACAGATCTGCTAGGATGTCTGTCTGCGTTTTGGGGGGCAGACCGGCTCAACTCCAGCTCATCACACCTCCAAACTGTTTGCCCTCAGGTCTGTGCCCAATGACTTTTTTCAAGTAAACTTCAGAAGGCAGCAGATGGAATAGGTGAAGTCTTTAGCAGGGACCCACGCATGCTTCCACCCGCYGTATGGATGGGTTGGACAGGCAGTGGTTCGACATATGCCCATCACCCTAAGTCCTCCTCTGCTTTGACATGATATCCTATGCCTAAGGCGAAGTAGACAGCTCAGGCTTTCCCACATTGGGCACTGTCACATGTGCCCCAAGGCTGTGTTTGGATCTGCAGAGGCCGATGACCAGCACTAGGGGTTCAGCCAAKCAACCGCAATTAAAGTAAATGTTCTTAAAGATGGTTCCTATTAGTAGCAAGTTTGTACATTTGTTGCCCATTGTTCCACCCCCCCGTCCTCTTTATTGGTTATTCTACCAAATATGGGCCAGATCCTCCTGTCTGCTACGTAGTCCAGCATAGAGTGAGGCTAAGAGCCTTCATTTACAATTTGGTGGCACATCACACACACTTTACCCTTCTATGTAAATGCAATGGTGAAACCTAGTGCAAAGAAACAGCAGCAAACCATGCAGAAGACACAGGAATGTGTGATTCAGGTAATTCTAGTCTCTTTTTTGCCTCTGTATGAAGGCTGATAAACAAATAATATTCTTCCCAAAAGGATGTGGAAGAGATTTTTGGGGTGACCCCATTCATTTGAGAACACCCCTCCTCCCTTCTTGTGTCTCCTGACTTCAGTCTTTGTGAAATTGGTGGTCCCTTGCAGTCCTCCGGTCCTATAAATTTTTATTATGTCATACTTGAGGACAAATATTCGCAGCAGAAGCTCCCTCTATGTGCTGAGTCTAGCTAGACTGTAATGTCTTTTAAGTTTGTGGGTGTATTTTATGGAGGGTTGTAGCCCTTAATGCAAATGTGTAATGGGAGTTGTAAGTCTGCACTGCAGGGAGAAAAGACCTCTGGGGCCTGATTTTCATTTACCCTTATGCTGCTTTATGCTGCTCTGGCAATGTAAAGGGACCTTAGGGTGGGTGCCAGGGCTGTGTAAAGCCTCGGTGCAGCCTGCATAAAGCCACAGGATGAATGAGAATTTAGTCCTCCTGGCTTAGCAAGCAAAATGCTCGGGAAGCAGAGCGGAAGACTCTCACTGGGACTTCAAGGGCTGCAAAATTTAGCTTTTCATCTGCAGAGAGCTGCTGAAACTGTGAATGCTCCTTATGTTCTTTGTGATCCAATAACAAATACACACCGCATTAGTAAAATGGTGGAATGTGAGTCATCGGTGCGTAGGTTGTTGCAGTTCCTATGGCTTGGTTTTCTTAGTCCCCATGCGGTGAATATACATGAAAAGAGAGGAGATTTGCAAATGGGAGCTGAGGGACTGCTGGATTGCCCATCGCTTGCACCTGGGTTGAGAGAGAGCCACAGCATTGGCAATGGGGCAGCTCCAAGACGTGGGGAGCCGGCTCTGCCCTGCCTGTCCCATGCCTAGGTTGAGGAATTCAACGTGTGGACACCAACRCTCAATGGAAGCTCCAACAGTGCAGGACATCATGGTATGGGCTAAATGAGGGTGCTCCTCCTACGTACAGTGGCTTTTCCTGCTCTCCAAGTGAAAATAAAGCCCTGCTAGTGCCTTTTCTAGCTATATTCACCAGTTGAAAAGCAACAGCAAGTTGTCATTCATRTACCCCAATGATGACATTTCGGGCTCCTCTGCTAGGATGGAGACCAAGCTGAGCCTACAGAGCATTTGTGGCTGAATAGGTGTGGAGTAAGCATAAGCGAAAGCCTAAAACCTTGTCCAGGAAAGCCTAAGCTCCCTCCATTCCCGCCACAAGGGCAAGCAAACATCCTGAGACACAGCTTAATTAGTAAAAATGATCATAATTCATCAGCTTTTAAGAAAGTACATGCATGAAAATACGTTCGCATTTTGACATGTGGTGAGAGCTGGGATGTGCTGTGCAAGTCAGTGCACAGTGCACAAGGCTACCAGCCAGCCCCTGGACTTGCTGATGTCCCCACATCTTCTCACAGACCAAATATTCTCTCTGTGGGAGGCGGGTTGTCTGGAGACCCAAGCGGTACATTTGATTCCAACAAGGACAGCCTGGGCGAAGAAGAGGGTTTTGTTAGTCTGGCAGCTGGTCCTACCCCGGCTCGTTCCTCAGAGCCCCCCACATCTGCAGGYAGACATGGGGAAGAAATTCACTGGCCGTTTTTGATTGCCCATTTTTGACTGGTTTTGATGAAACGCAGAAAGAACAAGAGCCCTAGAGCAAACGGGAAGGTTCCTGGTGCCTCAAGCAGGCCGCAGCCGTGCACAGGCAACAGGGCTTTAAAAAATGTGCATCTTTTTTAGGCAAAATCACATTGTTTTGGCCCTGTGGTGCTGGTGGCCTTCCCTGATTGGCCAGGAGCCCTTGGGCCMACACACCCTGATCCCCCATTGGGCTGGAAATCTTGGGGTGCACTCAGCCCCTGGGCCTGGATTGGTCAAGCAGTCTTGGTGACGCAAGCACCTCTGGGCCCTGATTGGCCAGTGCCTTTGGGTCCCTCATTGGCAGGAGAATCTTGGGGTGCACTTGCCCTAGTGCCCTGACTGGCTAAGTGCCTCGCGCTCTAGTGCCCGCGGGCGCTGATTGGCCGAGTGCCCTTGGGTGCTAAAGCCCCTGGGCGCTGATTGGCCGGCGCTCCCGGGCCCTGCTGCCGCCTGTCGGTTGCCATGGGAACTTCCTCCCGTGCGCCTCTCCCCGTCGGTTTCCTGGTGAACTTTCACCCGCGCGGCGGCGGGTCACATGACCGGGGCAACATGGCGGCGGCCGCTGGGGGCTGATCGGCGGCGCCTGCCGGGCCGCGCCGCATCCGCCCGCATCGCCGGCCGCGCGGGGGGGGCCGCGCCGGGGCCGCCGCCCCGCGAGCCGCCCGCCGAGATGCAGAGCGGCAGGAGGGGGCCCGGCGGCGGGGGCCGGGAAGAGGTGGGTGCGGGGCAGGCCCGGGGCCGGTGATGAGCGGGGCGGACCGGGCCGGGCCTTGTTTACCGGGGGGGGGGGGGCGGTTTGGGGCCGTCCGGAGGGGGCGGCCTCCCGGGGGCCCTGACACTTGTCCGCTCTTGTCTCCCCTCTGCAGACCTTCCTGCGGGTGCGAGCGAACAGGCAGACCCGGCTGAATGGTGAGTGCGGCACCGGCACCGGCACCGGCCCGGCCCCGCGGGGCGGCACCGAGCGGCCGCCGGGCCCCGCGGCGGGCGGCAGCAGCCACCACCGCGACCCCCCTGCACTGCTGCTGCCGCCGCCGCCGCGGCGCGAGCGGTTGTTTTGGTCGCGTCACGAGCGGTTGTTTTGGTCACGTCACGAGCGGTTGTTTTGGTCACGTCACGTTGAGATAAAATCCCGCGAGTTGCTTTGCGCTTCCCACAGGAAGCGGTTTCCCCGGCTGGGACCCTCGGAAGGGCCCCGAGGCCTCTCGGTTGCGCTCCAGGCCCTGCTGCCCTGTTCCCAAGGATTGCAGGGCAGAAGCCAGGTCTTGTAGTGAACTTTATAAGCCAGCAGTCTGAGCACACCCGTGTCTGACGTCAGGCTGGGTTTCCCTGCCCCAGCCCACAGGTGCAGCCGCGTTGCTCCCATTCTCTTCTTTCTAGGTGTTTGGAACAAATAAATCCACTAAGAAGTGTTCTGACACTTAAAAAAAAAAATCAAACCTCAATTCCCTTTATTTCAATGTGAGGAATTCCCATCTTTGTGTTTGTAAATGCACSTACCTCAAAAAAAAAAAAAAGCTTAAAATATTTCCCTTTTGTTTACTTAAAAGAAATTGAGGCTGTTTTCTCAAAGTGTGAAGAAACCAGAGCTTATCATTTAAACAGTAATAGTTTATCTCATTTTATGTTGCTTGTAGTTGTTGTAATACCATTCAGTCAATATTCATTTGTTCAGGGTATCAGGAGGTTTGTCAGTTTTGAACTTCCTGCCTAGGTAGTTTGTGATAATATCAGTGGCGTTCTGCAGATGCAGTTTGTTTAGAGAAAGATAACGATGTTTTGAACGAAACAGCAAACGGGTTTGAGTCGTACTGATGCTGAAACAGTTTGTTGGCAGTATTGCATGGTTAACATGGTCTTAAGCAAACAGAAATATTTCTGAGTTACTGGCCCAATGTCTTTGCCGAGTAATATATAACTGAACTCAGAACTACCCTGGAGATTTTTATRTATAGATTTTGAGGGCAAAAATGCTTAAATTCCTGAGGGTTTAGTTATACAAGGAAGAGTGCTCATCTCAGTGCTCTATGGTGTCAGTGATGAAGTGTTTCCTCATCACTGGTGTGTAGCTCGGGTTGAGCTTACACCTTCCACCTTTTCTCAGTGCACAACTGCTCTTTGTCAACAAAACCAGCCCGGCCCATGAGGTTCCTGGTGTTGTGGAGTCTTTGAGGGTAGATGCAGCTCTTGATGGCAGCATCCCCTGCTGACCCGGCTCTGCACTGCCCCTGTGTCTCACCTGGACCCAAGGAGGKTTGCACCAGGGTGTGTGCAAACTGCAGGCTCGGAGCTTGGGCCCTGTCATTGGATATTTTTGTGAACCTGGCAGTTCTGTACAGCATTTTCACGTTTGTTTTTGTAACTTTTTTTTCAGTACCTTTGTGGTAGGGTGAGCAAAAGTGCCAGCCATCTCTTCGGTGGGGGCATTAGGTTGGTTTTTATAACAATATTGTAGCGTGATATTTCTTGTGCACTCTTTTATGCCCCCTAACAATAGTAGGCCCAAAAGTTAGGGCATTGGATATAGAACTAGCTGAAGTGCTTAGGGTTACAGACGTCAATCTAGATCAGAACCGGTTTCTTTCGACCTTGGCTTTCTGTGACTGACTATTGCTGTTCCCAGAACATAACCCACAGTGATGCCTGGTTTCCCTCTATGCTGTTAGATTAGTATCCAGCCAGGCAGCTGGATAAAATTCACAGCTTCTTTCTGTGCGTGTGCCTTGGTATTTGTGAGCACTGAGCTCTGCCTGCTTTCTTGTTTCCTTCCCCAATTGTTCACACTAAAGTAACTTTGCAGTATTCATAAGCATTTTTGCATTATTGTTGAACAGCTATTTAAGCAGGATTGCTCCAGATGGAGAACACTTGAGTGCATTGGAAGAAAACGCTTATTTGTTTATATCTTGTGTCTTAATGAGCTTCTAATCAATCTCACGATTTTAGAGCTTGCTCCATGAGAATGGTTTCCTCACCCTTGTTAGTTTACACTGACAGAAATTGTGTAGGGCTTGTCCAAAGATATCTGCCTTCTCATTTTGCATTGTCTTATCGATGCACTAAGGAACCCTAGTTTTTTGGTTTTGAAAGACATCCTGCACTTCTTACGTAACATTTCATTCGTTTGTGTTATTTCCAAGGTGCTTTTCAGTGTTGCAGATGGTTTATCTTGGTATCTCTGTAAAGCTTTTTCCCAGCTGAGTTTCAGGACCCCTTCTAGAAGCTCTCCCCCATAAAAAGGGACCCACAGCATTTGCCGTTCTCCAAATCATTCTTTGCTGAAGTCTCATCTGCTCAGTGTTTGATGCCCAAATGCTACCAGAATCCCTAGATAAGTTTCCTTGTGCTGTGAAGAAAGGCTTCTTTGAGCTGCTGTTGGCCTGACTGCAGTACGATTAGGTCCTGATAGTCGTATGATTCATAAGTACCTAGCAATCCAGTATTTTAATTCCTTAAATCCAGCTCTTTTGCTTAAATTGAACCGTAAGGAAGCTGAGTATGTGTGCAAGCTGTGGAGCAGCAGATTAGCGTTCTGCCTGTAAGTCTCTTGGTTCTGTGTTTGTATCTGAACGTCCCTGTCAGTCTTGGTGAGTTAATCGTCACCCTTCAGCTGGGCTAAACCTGCTCTGCAGAGGTTGTGTCCTGATGAACCCCAGAGTTTGAGGTGCAGATTCCCAATAAACCCAGGCGAAAAAGAGGCGTTTCTCCCATTTGCTTCACTTTCAGTGTTGCCATACTCAAAGAAGCTTTAATCCACCTTGTAAATTTATGCTTATGGAGTTTAGCAGGGCAGATCTGCCTAGGTAGTCACTCAAAATTAAAAGCACAGATTTGTGCATTAGCCTATAGGAAAATGTATTCAGTTGGCTAAGGATATGCCAACATCAGAGAGTGGGGTCAGATTGAAGGCTGCTGAAATCATCCGTGTGGAYGCTTGGCCATGCAAATTTGAAAGCCCAGTGAGGCCCTTGTGTGAATTTGGCCCTAAATGGTCTCTCTTAGGCAGATGAATGGCAAATTGTACATAAAGTTTGAAACGGCTTCATTCTTGACCATCTGTTTTCTTGCTTTAGCTTTTCCTGAGATAGCTTTTTGTTTTCTGCTATTGCTGCCTGTGTTCCCTCAAATCAAATGCTCCTGGGTAAGTTGATMGGCCACAGAAGCTTTTGATAGGCCTGACTAACCAGTCCTCAAAACTCCCTTCTGGGCCCTCCTCTTCTGGGAGATTTGTAGGGAGCAAGTGTGTATTTACATGCTTGAATTTAGGGGCGTTTGTAAAGTTTGCATTCTCGGTAGAGCTACAAAATAGATCTTTGCAGATAGATCCTGCTTTTGCACGTGCCTGAGAAACAGGTTCTAGTGTTGTTGCTGACCCTAAAACCGCCTCTCAGGGCACACATCTCCATGGAGGTGGTCACTGCAGGGATTGTTCTTGGACTCAGATCAGCACCAGCTTGCCGTTCGTTTGCTTTTGTAGCAGAGACAGGGAGGAGGAATAAAACCGGATTATTTTCACTGGAAAGGAGACAAAAATGTTTCCATTTAATTTGATTGGCCTGTCATTGCAGGAGCTTCTAATGATGTCTGCATGGGACTCAGGGGACCACTCAAACTGGTGGAGGGAATCATAAGAGATATTGCTAGGAACTTAATCATCTCCTTTGATGCTCTTACGGAGGGTTGCACAGTAGCTACTGCTGGGTGCTGTGTAAAAGTCCTTCTGAGGTGATTAGTGCCTTGTCCTGAAGGTGAAGTTTTACTTACTTAAAATCAGTGGAAATTGAAAACCATCAGTGTTTTTATCATGAAGTTGCTGGGCTTGAGAGTAACAGGATCATTAGGCATTAATAAAGTTCAGCCTAGATGGGGAGGCCCGCTGTGGAGAAAAGATTCTGTTTCTTCTGCCTGTAAGGCAGCAACGTCTGGGGAAGGGGACCCAGATGAAAGGAGAAAGGCACTAGAGACTTTGAAAGTCCAGCAGAAAAAAAMCCCTTGGCTCCTTTATTTATATGTTTATTTTTCCTTAGGAAATGGAAGAGCAGCTTCCCTAACCAGCAGTGTTTCTGGGAGCAGATCAGAGACCTGAATTTAGATCCCAGTCCTGCCAGAGGGTTCCTCATCCTGATTCTTTCTCAGGTCTCATTAYGGGGCTGTGACCACTTGAACTCTGGGCTGCTTCATGGGTTAGAGGCCAGCTTCTTCCTGGGCGCTTCCAGGTGCTGCTAGGAGCCCATTAGCTGCGGAAAAAGGGACCATGTCYCAAGCACCTGCTTGAGGAATCCGCTAGTCCTGTTGCTGGAGTAGCTGCGTGARGGCAGGTCCCTGTGTCCCACTTGAGGGACAAGAGCTCCATGTTTGGGGGTCACATTTGCAGCCAGGCTTTTGGTAAAGTATTTCTGTTAAAAGTGAGGCCTCAAAGGTGCTGAAAAGCTCTCGATGACCTAACAATAATTATTAATGCTCATAAGAATTAGTGAACTCCTCATGTCCTAGCAAAAGGCTGGGATAATAACTAGAGAGCCTTTGTACAGTCAGAGATCAAAAGGGGCACTTTTGTGCAGGGTCTCCTTGAGCGAGGTCCTCTTCTCGCATCCAGTCCCCTGCTGCCCGTGTTTTTATCTCCCTGATTTACAGGAGGGAATGGCTTTTTTTCCTCTCCCATGCTCCTGCGACAGGAGTGCCGGGGAGAGGGATTAGTGAGCTAATTAGAAATGATCGCATCTATCAACACTAATTAAGAATCCAGGGGTCTCGCGCGCGTGTTCTTTGGAGCCGTTCCCCTTCGGGACAGCACCACAATCACCCCCTGCCTTTGGGGCCGCTCTGTCCCTTCCGCGCTGATTGGAAGTGATAGCCGGGATGGAAAGGGCTGCTCGGGATGTGCTTTCTGGGCTGCCGCCTCCCGTCTCGTTCCCTGCTGTCACCAGGGGCACCCGGGGCCTCCGTGGGCACGAGGCTGCTGCTCCTAATGACCCGCGAATGAAAATGGCAGGGGGATTTGTTTCCAACACCTCTTTCCTCCCGTGGCTTTTTCACTTGTGGCACTCGGATTTACAGGGCTGCTCCTCCAAGGAGCTGAGTGAACCAAGATAGGTGCTGTCTGCTGGGATCTTGCACGGAGCTGGAAGAGACCTGGGTTCTGTCACCAGCCCTGCGGTAACGTTTCAACAGCAGATCAGGTATTTGTTCTGCAAGAGCAGTCCCAAGAATTCATCCAGACAAGGCCTAAAACTAGTTGTCTTCTTTCARTTGCTGTTATAGTGCATAGATTGGATAAGAATGGCAGTAAAAAATTAATGATATTAACAGATTTGCGCAATAAACTTGTTTACCTGGGTTGTTTGGCCACATGGCATCCTACCTGAATACTTCAATGGGTCCTTCCTTCCATTTCCCTGTTCAAAAGCAGATGAGAGGAGGGAAAGAGGGAGTTGTAATGAGGATGGAGAAAGCTTTTATTCTATCTTTCTGCATTTTTTTCTGCTCAGAGAGGTGTTTACTGGAGAATCTTGATGTCAGATGCCAGCTTCATCTCCTTTTTTTYTTTTGTGCTAGCTCTGCAGAGTTACTGAGGCAAGGAAGCAGCTTGCTGAACTTATCTGAAAGAGTCGAGCTAGAGGATATGAGTATTTGCTAAACCAGAGCCTCCAAAGTCCCTCATGTGCTGAGGTACAAACGAGGGAGCACGGTTCAATTCTGCTAACTGCATTTGGTAACAGGGCTGCATGATCCTTGAGCAGGGGTAGGCTTTGGAGCTTCATGGAGGGTGGGAAGGAGAGAGAAAGCTTGGCAGACACCTTGTGGGGGRCATTGTTCTATTTAAAAATGTAGCATAATTCATTTGGCCACACAGAAATCGGCAATAACCCTTCACAATTAATGTTTGCTTCTATTTTGAGTGGAAGTCGAGCAGTTTACCTTCTGAAGTAGAAGCTGACAGTACAAGTAAAATATTAGTCTTAAGCAGACGAGAGGGAAACTAGACAATTTCTTCCTAGAAACACTGTAGTACCTGAAATATGTAGAAAAAACAGGTGCCCTGTGGGGTTGTTGGTTTGCTGAACCCAACACGAGAGGACTGCAGAGCTGGCAGGAGCAGGTGAGGTTTAGAGAATGGCTGAGAGCAGAATGTACCCGGTGAGGAAGGGCTCTCAGTTACCAGGCCTTGAAAAATGCTTTTGTCTTTTTTGGGGTTTTTTTTGCTCTTTTTTTTTTTTTTTTTTTTTTTTTTTTTTTTTAAGAATGTCGTGTTTGCAGAATCCTTTCTATCATGCCAAGGATGAAGGCTTATGTTTTGAAGGGAGTTTGTCCACCTGTCCTTTGCCAAGGAAAAGCAATGCCCAGGAGTCAATTTGAAGCCACTTTAATCCTGTGCCCCAGGGTGTAGGGATTGGTGAGCACTGCTGGGTTTCCTCTGTGGCACGTTGTACCCAACCTGGGAAGTTTCAAGTTTCTCCTCAAGAGGAAGCCCTGGAAAGGATTGATGTTTCTGTTGGTGTGTTCAGCTAAAGCTTTGCAGCTCGCTGGGTGATGTGGATGTGCTTCAGCAGGCCCTGACAGACACCTTCCTGTACCTGGGTCTGCTTTTCCTGCTGCTCCGGCACCTTTCCCTGACTTGCTGGCTGCAGGGAGCTGTTGATCTCGCCGTCTTCGAGCGTGAAGGCTTTCAGAGCATGCTGCAGTGCTCACAACGTCAATAACGATCTCCTGCTAATGCCGCTTTTCGGTGGTGTCATCTCTCATTATCACATGGGCTTTCCTTGGGCTTTTCCTTGTCTCTCATTCAGAATTTTGACCTTCCTTATTAATTAAACAACAACTTTCCTCCAGCCAGTGATTGAGTTATTCGGTAATACCTGCCTAAAGCCATAATAATAAAGGACAGAAGTTCTTTTTAATGCAAATGATTTGGTTCCAGATGTTTTGATCACATTAGACCATGACTCAAATTAAGCAGAGATTAGATTAAGCAACAGGCTACTTTTTCTAATCATCGTGATTCCCAACATGTCTGTTTCCCAGAATATACATTCTTGAAGGCAGGGTAGCCCCCAGTTCTCTTCTATATGGCTGGAAAATTATGAGATAAAAATGTCAGAATGTAGGTACTGCGTTTTCCTCAGTAAGGATCCTTCCTCTGCCGAAATGGTACCCTTACTAAGATGCTACCCTGACTTGTTGGTGACATTTTGGGAACGTATTGTTCAAGGTGTGCAAGAGGTGGTGGGATTCTGGAAGCAGCGGTTATGAAATGTGACCAAGGCTTTGCAGGCGGTATTTCAGCTTTCTAAGGCCTGGAGAAATTCCTCTATAGGGAATAGTTGTGTTAAGGGGTGGGTTTGAGAGTTAGAAGGCAAATCCAGAGCAGGGTTCAGTGGCTTGATCACTCAGATTTGGGAAAAAAAATGCAGACTTTCACAACAAAGTGTTTAACCATTTGAATAACGTGCCTGGAGTTGTGCAGCAGCTAGTCCATCTCCCAGCTCTCAAACCAAGAGTAGGCGCCTTTCTGAAATCAGAATGAACTAAACCCCAGCTTGATGTAGAAAGTACAAAGTGGAATTCTCTGTGTCTCTTAGAATGTCRGAATGGGGAATGGCTGTGGGATCTTCTGGTCCAAAATCCTGCGTTTCTGCCAAGGCCTTACTGTTCAGAGCAGGCAGAGCTGAGTACATAGAGAAGAGTTGATCTCCAAACTTGACATGTTTTTCCTTTTTTGTTTTCTTTCCCTGGTTTCTCCACGCAGCTCGGATTGGGAAAATGAAACGGCGGAAGCAAGACGAAGGGCAGGTATGTCCCCTCTGCAGCCGGCCTCTGTCAGGATCCGAGGAGGAGATGAGTAGGCATGTGGAACAATGCCTTGCAAAGGTAGAGGCGCAGCAGGATCGCCAGCTGCCATTCCCTTCCCCCTACTCCCAGCTTGGTCTGCAGCCCACCTAACCTGGGGCAAAAACTAACATTGCTGAGCTTGAAGGCAATGCTAACTGTCTGCCCGAGATCTGTAGCCACTTTCCTTTGTCTTGAAAGATGGATTATTCGGGATTTTCTCCTGTGTTGTTCTGGTAACTTCTCCTTTTCATGCGCTCTTTCTGTTGAAGAAGTTCAAATTGTTGTCTCTGAAGGTTGTATAGAGGTTTGCAAAGCCCTTTGCAGGACTTTATGCTTCCTATATAGTGCAGCAAAAAAAAGAGTTCTTCTTAAATTTGATGTCTTCAAAGGAAGAGATTATCTTTAGTTGGTGGTTTTATTTTTTCTCCCCCTGGTAGCAGCTTGGCATTTGTAAATGTTGCATGACCACCTCGCCCCAGAAGGTGTGCGAGAGAGGTCTCGTTGCTGAGCAGGGCCAGTCCCTCAGCCGTCTTCCTGCAGACAGCATGAAAGGAAGAACAAGCCCTAGGAGGGAGCGCTGTGGCATTGGGCTTTCTGTGCTTGTTCTTCATGAAAAGTCCGCAGTGAAGATAGGAAACAAGAATAAACTTTTTACTCAAGAGATGCATGGTGTAAAGGTGTCTTGGTGTAAGGGAGATACTTCCTTAATTTCTGTAGGTGGGAGTTTCTCCATGCTGTGGATTAAAGGAATTTGTTGTTTCCATGATAGACAGGAGAATTGTGCATGCGAAATAGGGGAAATGTGTGCTTAAATGCACACCAGAATTGTTGTAGGAAGCAGAACTTAAAAAAAATATATATATATAGAGAGAGAGAGAGAAATTTAAGTGTTCAAATCACACGGGTTGGGGGCGGGAAGGAGACACTCTAGTCCAATCTACACTTAGCTGCCCTAGGAACAATCCAACTTTCTTTCTCCATCGGTTGTTAACCCCAAAGCACTGATTCCTGCATCTCAATGCTCTGCCCCTGCTCTACCCTGTGCAGAGAGAAGGCTCGTGCATGACTGAGGATGACTCTGTGGACATCGAGAATGAGAATGGCAACCGCTTTGAAGAGTACGAGTGGTGTGGGCAGAAGAGGATACGGGCCACTACTCTCCTGGAGGGAGGATTTCGAGGTGCGCCAGTGTTTTGGGGACCCCTCTGATCCGTTGTGAGAAGTTCTTCTGTGAAATTTGATAATTGTGTGTCCTTAGAGGGAGGGACAGGCTTGGGCTGCCTCAGCRCCTGGGGTTTTCCCTTTCATGATGGGTGGGATTTTAAAGTGATTCTGGTTTTCTGCCTCTCCAGAACAATGAGCGTGAAGATCTGCACAAATTTKGAACAAAAGCAAGGCTTTATTTCTTGCTCGAGAAATGTGACTAAAAGGGGAATGAGTAGGAATGGATAGAATGGGGAGATCATTTGGGGAAATAGCTTGTTATGTGTTACACATAGTAAGAAATACGTGGAAATATTTGAGAAGAGGGAAATAGAAATGAAATTGTAAAAATTCCCAGCCTGGAGTGACGAAAGCTGGTGTATCAGCCCCTGGTGATGTATTGAAGGTGACAGCTAAGTCGCTTTAGCACCTGCATAAAATATTAAAGGGCCAGTTGTGCATTTATCACTCCATCCCTTTTAAGGTTGATAAATGAGAATCCAGGAACCTGCTCTGCACCTCCAGCGCTGCAAGCCCTTAGGGCTCCCAGACAAACACATTTTATTTTTCCTCCTTCTTTTGCTCCTTCCCCAGTGACGGGGAAATCGGTTACTGAAGAGAGAGTGAGTTATGGCAAAATTTGACCTCTCGTGAGCTTTATCGGTGAATGTAATTTTAGCTAGAAACCTGGCCCCTTTCTTACACTCAGCCCTTTGGCCTCGAAGAGGAGGATTTACTAAACTGCTTTGGCAGGGACCTCTGGCACTGAGAGTCTCTCGCAAGCAATCCACGTAGCACATGCCTAATGAGAGCAGGAATGCTGGCTCCCTCCGTTCAATAAAGAGGATGGGATGCGATCTCTTCCTATATCAGCTTGGATTTTAATTTAAAATATCTCGAGGGGAAAGGCTACTAAGTCAGGGAGTTGGACTTGCAAGCCATTGTGTGCTCAGTGACAGCCTAGCACTGCCCATCTCCCCTTACCTTCCTCTAAAATTAAATTGTAGCCAGGGAGTAGCAGAGCAGATGATCAGGATCACAGAGGTGGAGCAGCTTCTCTGTGTGTTTTAAGGCTAGCTCGTGATGTTCGCTTCCTGTATCTTTAGCCTTTATTTTCCTCACTGTTTCTGTGCTCACATAGAATCATGTCTATATGTGGTTATGGTTGGACTGTGCAGTGCTTTAAACTTTTTGTTTAGCTGTGTAATTATTGTCATAAGCATTGGATGCCTATGTACCTCTATCATGGTCAATACTACTATTAGATCCTCCTCTTCATCCTGATAAACAAAAACTACTCAGTCCATTCCTGTCCCTTCATGTGCACATGCAGTTTCTTCCTTTGCCCCCCCCAAAATACCTGAGTTTTTGAGGCATGGTCTTTGAGCATGGTCTCCAACCCCCTCTGCTCTCAGCATTGKGCTGTCCTCCCTTGATTAATATTTCCTTTTTAAAAAATTTACTCTCTGGATTATGATTTGACTCTTTCATTCAACACCAGTCACTTGGGCAGTGTCTTTCAAATGGGACTTTCAAAGGCTGGCAAAGTGTGTGTAATTGATGTGATGAGGCTGTGTAAATATATGGTGCTTGCTTCTTGATGCTTTTTTTTCTGTGTTTAATTGGAATTTTCAAATTTGTTGAAGTTTGCACTAAGTAAGTGGGCTGCTCTCCTCCCTCAGAGGTTAGTCAGATTATGGCAACATCGATGCTATAACCTTTTCTGCTAGAGGGCTGCATCACATGCATTGACACTTACTTCTGTGTTTAATGCCTCAAAAAGCCTTGCTATGTTCAGGAAGCTACAGGGTCTTCGTTTAAGACCCCTATGCTACCTTCAGGAGTGGTTACATAGGCAGCTAGAAGAGAATCTCTCCAAGAGGACTTGGAGAAGAGTGCAGCCAGGTATGTTGAGAACCTCTTGGTAATTATCTGTGGTGACAAGGTCTTTTGGATTAGSCTCCTCCTTCCTTGGTGCAAGAGGGGAGCTACTTGTAGATCAGCTGGAATGCACAAGAGCCTCCTGGTGATGTTCGTGTTGAGCGTCATCCATTCCCTCACTTTGGGTGGCAGAGGCCCCTGCTCAAAGCATGGCTCCACCAGCGTGGCTGGGATGTCTCTAGTGCCTGTGTTTTTGCTTCCTTCTCTGGAACATGCCTGTGCTGACAAGGAGACTCAGCAGCCCTCAAATTCCCAGCACTTTCCTAAGAAGAATAAGTTTTTATCACCAAGTTTTTGCCCAATGTTGTGAGATAAGGAGATGCTATCTGCAGCATGCCTGGCTACTCTGTGCCAGAMGCTTTTGTGAAATTTGGAGAACCAGAGCAAAGCTGGCATGAGCTACACTAGCTGGTTATGTTTCTTTTTAAGCAAGTTATACCTTTTTATGCCCCCTTTGGCAGTTTTCATCTTTTCCCTAGCTGCTAGCACTCGGATATCCTCAGTCAGACCTGTTCTGTGCACTCTCAGATAACCTGAAGATGACAGTCTTTTTCTTTTCTCTGCTCTTTCCTTGTTTGGGGGGCAGAGTTTTTAATTTACACATTGCTGAATTACACAAACTGCTTCTAATTTACACATTTGAATTTACACATTTAATTTGCACAAATGCTGAAGCACAGCATTTTGGAGATACCCTCTAACACTTAAAACTGCTGTATCTGAAGTTGGCAAGACCCTCRTTAACTCTTCTCATCTGAGGCTCTCATCCCTTTGCTGAGTAGTAGTAGCAATGTGGAAATCAAAAGTCTCTTTTAATGCCAGACAGTACTTGCCAGGTTTCATGGATGTCGTCAGTGTTTGAAGAGATGACATGGGGGGAAATACTTAAACCTGGAGGGGAGAGTAGATGTTCATGTGTCTCCTCAATTTCTGTTTTAATGGAGTGTTGCTATAAGGACGTTTTGAGGGGAGCAGGATACTAGGCAGCATTTATGGCATGAATCAGTTTAGACTATTGGGCAGCATTTTGGAAGCAACTCAAACTGAACACAGATTCTGGCTTTTTTAATAATCATTTTTGGCTAATGGATACATTTCATGTCACTCTCGGGGTGATGAAAGCTCTTCACTAATACATGAAAGATCATGTTAGATTCTCAGGTGTAATGGAGTATTGGGAGATTGTGGGCTTTTTTGTTTATTGTATTATTTTTGGGGCGGGGGAAGGAAGGTCAGGGAAATGAATAATATTTTTTCCCTAGAGGAGGTCTAATACTTAACATAAAAGTGTTACTTATGTGGTTCCTAGGATGAAGCTTTCATGCTTTCAAAACTATCCTAGCAAATACTCACCCCTCTGACCTGAGTGGCTGTTTTAGAAGCTAGAATTTGCCCTGGCCTTGCAGCTGCAGATCCCCCAGCAGCAGATCAAAGCCCACCCTGCTGTGGCTTGGTGCACTTGAGACACCAGGTAGAAGGAACAGGAGATGGAGGTAGGAAGGTGTATGACATGACTAGGTAGTGCTGATATCAGTATGTTAGCTCTTAGGCTGTTGGGTTTGGTGTAGGCTGTCGTTCAGAAATTATTTGGTACTTTTAGCTGTCCTTCTGATTTCATAGATTGTCCTTTTCTATTGCTTAACTCGATTGTCCCAAACTGGGCAGTGAAGATATCGACAATTATAGTGAATTTGGAGCTATTTAATTTCAGAGCAGATTTTGCTAAAAGTAGGAATTTCCCCTCCTTTGTAAGAGTTTTGTTTTCTTTTATTCCATTTTTGTTTGGGATGCAAGCAGAAGGCCACCAGCATGAAACCTGCCCWGTCTTGTTTTAATCATGCTCTTGCTTCTAAGTGGAAAACCACGCAGAAGTCTAAATTGTTTCCCTGTCTCAGAACTGTGTGACAAGACTAGAATTTCTCTCGAATTACCTGAGCATTCAATAACCATCTCTCCCCATGTCTCAAGGCAGTGAGGTACGGTTCTAGTGAAAGGCTTCTTCCCTCTCTGATGCTCTTTGTTGCAGGGGAATTTTTCATGCAATCTTTGTCTAATGAGCCTCACGCCAGTCTCTGTTTAGGAAGCCTACAAGGCTTTGCAAGGGAAAGCATCAAGTGTCTCCTTTCTGTTTTTTTAACACTCAACATATTTGTAGCGATTCTTGTGTTTCTCCCCAGAATGGATGCACATTACCCTCAGTGTTTACACTGTAAGGTTATCCCTTTAAAGAATTCCTGAGGGAAGTTCAAAARGGTTTTTTTTCTTTTTCTTCCTCCTTTGAAAGGTTCAGTGTCTCTTTTTGTGTGTATGTCTCTTACTTGAAAGAAGGGAAAGGGAGGGGGGGAGTGGAAAAAAAAAGTGCTTTATCTGAAAAGAATCGCATCAGCTTCGCGCTGATAGAAGCTGCTGTCATCTCTTAAACRGCTTAGCACAGTCAAAAGGCAAGAAGACTTAAAACAGTGTCTTACACAGGGATCGATGGGTGGAACACGTAACTGGGAACTGCAAAAAAAAAAAAAAAAGGCAGGGGGAGAGATAACGGTGATGATTGCATTGAAGGAAGCTTGAGGGAGGCTTGTTCTTTGGAACACAGCTTCAAAGGCGTCTGGGCCGCCGCCTAAGCAAACTCTGCTCTGAAGTCGCTGCCTCGGCGGGTCTAGGCAGGGAGAAGGTGGGGGGATCCTTGCACCCTTCCCTGTCCTCGCAGATGGGACGAAGCCGATGAGTAAATGTCAGGTTAGCCGCTCCCTTCTGCCGCCTCGCCTGTGAGGAGGGGTTTCTGCTGGCGAGTCCCTTGCTGTTCCTTGTGGGAAAACTGCCTGGCCGGCAGCGGGGAAGGAGGGGAGCGGATGGGGGACACGGGGGGCCGGGATGTCAGTTTATCGATCGCACCTCAGTCAGGAGAAGCCGCGGGCGCAGCGCTCGGAGCACGAGCGGCCGCGTGCTTAATGTGATTGAAAGGCAGTTAAAATGGCGGTGACCTTTTCAGGGGGAATTAGATTGCCTGCCAAGAGTGGTTAGAGGGAGTGATAACGC